CCCCAGCTGCTTTCAGTCCGCTCGGGAGGAGGGGGAGGAGGAGGTGGTGGCGGCGGCTCACGTTGTTTTCTGAGCTCTAGGCTCTAGGCTCGCGATCTCAGAAAATAACGCGAGCCGCCGCCGCCACCTCCTCCTCCCCCTCCTCCCGAGCGGACTGAAAGCAGCTGGGGCTGAGGAAACAAAGCCACCTTGGCTCGCGTTGTTTTCTGAGCCTAGAGCCAGGGCGCTTTCATTGCATGGAGGAGCTTCTTGTTTCAGGAAACACTGGGCGTTGTTGCTGCCCCCTGAGGGGAGGACGATTCTGGGCTGCGCGATTGGGGGACTTCGTGGCTTTGGGTGGGTGGGTGGGAGCGAGGACGGACAGAGTCCGCAAAGCGGGGCTTGCCTGCCCTTGCTGGCTGCCTCTGCTTCCTTAGGGGTGGGGAAGGGGACTCATCTGGACCAAGGGTGAGTCTCCCCCTCAGTTTCCCCTGAAGGATCTTCCGTCGCTTTTGCCTTCTCCCTAATGTCTTCCCTCTGTTAAAATCCCCCCCCACACACACACACACACACTTATTTTCAGGCGGATAGATTTCGTGTCTGAGCATTCTCACATGACAGTGCGTCTTTTTCCCCCCCTAAAAACAGTTAAATAAAGAAAAAACAATATATCCTCATGCAAGAACTTTTCTGCTTCCGATTACCCCCATGCTTACAAGTTGCAAAGGAAACACAGAAGCAGGGAAGCGGCTGCCCAGCTCCGGAGCTCCACACCATTTTTTTTTTTTCAGAGGGAATCTCACTCGAGTATAAGCCGAGGGGTTTTTTTTTCAGCACAAAAAATGTGCTGAAAAACTCGGCTTACACTTGAGTATATACGGTACATTGTATATGATCTCGTATTTTCAATCCAATATTAAATACATTGTATCATTATTAATCATTTGACTATACTTTTATTCATTCATGCTTTAGAAAATAATCATATTTTACTTAATTTGTTTTGTGACAATTCATATTATCATCCCAAATCTATCCTAAAATCATTTTGTAGATATAATAAGGAAAGAATAAATCTTTATATATTGTATTGTCTAAAAGTCTACATATTTCATTACTATACTTTATTGTCTAACCATTGATAGAATAGATCCCAAACTTTATAAAATTGTTTATCATCCTGTTCTCTAATTTCAAATGTCAATCTGCTCATTTCAGCACATTCCAATATTTTCTTAATAATTTCCTCCTGTGATGGTATTTTCTCATTTTTCCAGTTTTTAGCAAATACAATCCTAGCCACTGTTAATACATTTACAATCAGGTATTTCAAGTCTTTACTATATATTTCAGGTAAAATTCCCAATAAAAATATCTCTGGTTTCAAGTCTATATGTTTTTTTGTCATTTTTTCCAACCACATGTGGATTTTAGTCCAGTACTTTTTAGCATCTGCACAAGTCCACCGCATATGGTAATATGAGCCAGGTGCCTGATGACATTTCCAACATTTTTCAGATTTATTCTTGAACATTCTTGCTATTCTTGTCGGGGGGAGGGGGGGGATGCCACCTGTAAAACATCTTATACAATTTTTTTTTAATATGCTATTGACATTGTCATTTTATAATTTTGAGACCACAATTTTTGCCATTTCTCTAGATCAATCCCATATCCAAAATTCTTCCCCCAAGCAATCATAGTTTCTTTAACTTGTTCTTCTAGTTTAATTTCTAATAAATATCCATACAATTTTTTAATCACCTTTTCATCAGTACCTGTCAAAATCTTATCTAAATCAGTCAGTTTATCATAGAAACCTTCTGTTTTAAAATCTTTATCATACCTTGAATGTATTTGCGCATATGAAAACCAATTCATCTTTATACCTTGTTCCTCTAGTTTTGTATAGATTTGAGTTCACCCTATTCATTCAATATTTCACCATATCTAACTGTTTATTCCTTTTTGTATATTATAGGATAAGAAAATACTTCAATAGTCAATAGCCAGACTGGAATTTTCAAATAACATTGTCTTTTAATCTTCTCCCAGTTTAACCACAGAGACGCCCATATATAATGTCTTCTAAAGTACCCCTGTGTTCCTTTGTACCATAAAAAAGCATGCCTCCCCAACAACAGACCATGTCCTTCTAATGTCAACAATCTAGTATTTCTTAGTGTTATCCATTCCTTAACCCACATCAAATTTGTAGCTTGGTAATACAACTTCCAATTAGGCAAACCAAATCCTCCTCTAATTCTAGCATCTTGCAAAAGTTTTAACTTTATTCTTGCTTTCTTTCCTTGCCATATATATTTCAACACAATTTTATTTAAATCTTCAAAGTAATCTTTTCCAATCCTAATTGGAATTGTTTGAAACAAATATAAGATTCTGGGTAATATATTAATCTTGATTGTTGAAATTCTCCCTATTAGTGACAGTTGTAAGTTTTCCCATTTCGCCAAATCTAGTGCTATCTGCTGTTTAAGTTTGATATAATTATTCTCTTTTAGTGTACTACATCTTACTGTCAAGTATATCCCCAAGTTCTTGATCTTATTCATGACCTGAATTTTCAATAGGTCTGCTTGATAGCATATTCTTAGTCAAGATCTTTGTCTTATCTTTATTTATTTTCAAATCAGCCACCTTTCCATATGTCTCTATCTTTTCTATCAATTTTGATGCTGTTTCTAGAGGGTCTTCCAAGATGAAAACCAGATCATCTGCAAATGCTTGCAACTTAAATTCTTCCTTTTTAATTTTCATCCCTTTTATATTCTTTTCATCTCTAATATTTCTATTTAGCACTTCCAAAGTTAACACAACAGAGGTGATAGTGGGCACCCTTGTCTTGTTCCTTTTCTTATATCAATAGAGTCTGTCAGTTCTCCCTCTATCATTGCCTTTGCCATTTGTTTATGATATATAGCTTCTATTGCTTGAATAAATTTTCTAGCAAAGCCCATCTGTTCCAGCAGTAACGACATGAATCACCAATTCACATTATTAAATGCCTTCTGTGCATCTAGAAATATCAAAGCCATTTGTTTTTCAGGATGTGCCTCGTAGTATTCCAAAGTGTCCAAGATTACTCTCATATTTTCTTTAATTTGTCTCTTTGGCAGAAATCCATTTTGATCAGGATGGATAAAATTATTTAGATATTTTTTAAGTCTTTCTGCCAATATTGAAGCAAAAATTTTATAATCTACGTTTAGTAGGGAAATAGGTCTATAGTTCTTGATTTGTAATGGATCGGCCTCCTCTTTTGGAACAAGTGTAATATAAGCTGGCCATGATTTAGGTATCCTCTTCTTTAACATAACTTCATTCATAACTTCTAGCAATGGAAGATTCAACGATTCTTGTAATGTTTTGTAAAATTTTGCTGGAAGTCCATCTGGGCCTGGTGCCTTTCCATTATTTTGCTTCTTGAGTGCTTCAGTTAACCTTCATCATTGTTATATTGCTTTCTAACATTGTTTCAATCTCTTTAGGTATCTGGGGTAACTTAGCATTCTGTAGGTACTGTTTGACTCTTTCCTCATCAATATTCTCGTGTGTATAGTTTCCCATAATAGTTTCAAGTGATTTCCTTCTTCTCTTTGCTACCATGGAAAACTTGACCTTGATCATCTATAAACTGCAATATTTTCCTTGATTCTTTCTCCTTTCTCAGTTTATATGCTACCCATCTACCTGGTTTATTTGCATCTTCAAAGTAGTTCTGTTTAGCACCTCTAATTTTCTGTGCTAATTCTTCTTTTTCTATTAGACCCATTTTATGTTTGGTTATATCCATTTTTAACCTAATGTCCTTTTTCTGTGGCATTTTCTGTAGCTCTTTTTCAAGTCCTTTATACTCATCCTCTAATGCCTTAGAGGCTAATCTTTTCATGGTATTTCTTTTC